TGCAGATTATGCCTCATTAAGCTCTTGTTCAATGGCTATTTTGCAATATCAGGTGAGATGAAGTAATTAGGCTGGCATCTTCAAGGTGTATTATTCTCCTGTTAGGTCTGATTTTTGGGGAAACATAGACTGTAGACATATTTATGCTACCTTAATTCAATTTAATAACAAAATGCTTCTAGTACACTACTCTACATGAGAAAATTAAGCTGTCTCTCATGTTTGAATTTGACCATGTAGCCAACCACATAAGTTGAAGAGTACTCTCAATGTATCTCACATATTTTCTTCCAAGGTCTCGTGCAACTTTTCAAACCCTTTACAAAATGTGTTTCATATGCATACTATCACTAATATATTTGCCCTATTTTTGAAATATGTCAGCTGTTTCACACCACATTCCACTTAGAAATAAGAAACTGCTGCCATATGAGCTTTAAAATATGATATGCAGTGCTAGCAAGATACCTCAATCGACTAAGCACCTGCTTAGGCAAGCTCAGAGACAGGGCTTTGATCCCCAGCACCAGATGCTGCATAGGCCCTGCCTCCAGGCACACTAAGCCAGCCACTTAGACAAGGAGTGGTGCTGCATACCTGTAATTCTAACACTGAGGAGGCTCAGACAGAAAGATCACAAAGAGTCTGAGCTGCATAGTGAGACCCTGTACCAAATATATAAAAATATGTATGATAGGAAGATTGATTCTTGTACTTTCATGACATTGAAAAACAAAGGATGGAACAAGCCACTGGACCAGAAGGCCGCAGGAGTGGAGGGAGAGAGCAGTCCACTTGGATGGGGCTCAGCTGGAAGGAACCAAGCACAGCAACCTTACCCAAGCCAGGTCCAGCCAGTCAAGATCAAGTTCAGTAGATCTAGTGAACTGAGGCATACTTCCAGGCCCAGTGATCCCAGACTGAAGTGCAGACCTACACGAGCACCCTCATGACACGGTGATGGCAACTGGTAACTGGGGTGAACTAGTCTGCCTGGAAGACTCCAAATACATGAAAGAGAGGTGGCCATTCAGAACTCATGGGAACTAATTTAAAAACAAATTCCCAATTTCAGATGTTTGTTATACAACTGTAATGTTTGCTCCTTAGTCAAAAGTATGAACCTATTAGTGACAAAAGTTTGTTAATTTCTACATTTCAATAGGTGTTATTAGTATTGCTAATTGTACTACTGTAAATAGGATACCATGTTCTCCCTTGGGTAATAATATTGGGAGGTGCTTGTGTAATAACCTCACCAAAGCCTACACTGAAAGACGGAGGACATTGCATGTGGATACTAATATCTCACTCTCAATCAATAGAGAAGGCAGAAGTTTGAGACACACACAGAAGAATAATCTCTGACACAGGAGACATACCTAAAAAACAGACTCTACACAGAGACTCTGACTGTACTGATACAGCTACCTACCATCAAACTTTCACAGAAAGAGTATCTCAGAAATCAAAATAAATAGTTCTCTTTGAAATAGAAAGTTACAAAAAGAAGGAGTAAAAGGCAGTATCAGGCCCTGAGTCCACCCAGAATAAACCAAGGAGACATCAGCATAGGAGAAATTGGAAGTCACATACCTGAAATCTCTGAAATAATAGCAACTGAAGTAAAGAAAGAACTGCAGAAGGTTATAGAGGAAATCAGCTCAGAAATAATCTCACAGGGGGAGGGGTCCCTGCCCCTTAGCTCAGTTCTTTAAGTGGCTCCTTCAACAAAGCAGTCAGGCTCAGGTTGCTGTGGTTTGATACCCATAACTGAACCCAACCAAACCTGCCCTGAAGGCATTCAGAGCAAAAAGAAAAAAAAAAAAGAAAGAAAGAATCTCACAAGTAAAAAAAAAATAATAATAATAACTATACTGAAAGAATCACTAAACATTTCTAAAGAAGACACTCATAAAAAATAAAAGAGAATAGAAAAATGATGGAAGCCTTCAATGAGAAATATAGGAAAGAAATAAAATGCATGAAACAGATTCAAAGAGATATACAAGAAACTTAAAACTCCATTAAAAGTTGACAAAACCTTCTGAATGAAAGTGAAGATAAATTTTCAGACCTTGTAGACAAAACTGCAGCTAGTGAAAGGTAAGCAAAGATCTCTTAAAAACAACTAGGTCCAGGAAATAATAATTCAACAGCTGTAAGACGATGCAAAGATGAACAACATAAGACCAATAGGCATCAATGAGAAAGAAGGAGACCACACAAACAACATAAAAAGAATATGAGCAGAGATAATACCAGAAAACTTCCCAAATATAAGGAAACAATCTGACATTCAAGAAACTGAGGCATATAAAACTACAAATAATTGCAACCCAATTAAAACTACATTGAGATATATAATAATCAAGGGCTCAGAAATTTAGCACAAGAACAACATACTAAAAACTGCTAGAAAAAAGAAATAGATCACAAATATTTAAAGGAAAACCCATCAGAATAACAGCAGATTTCTCTTTAAACCATCAAGTCAAGAAGAGCATGGAACAAACTACTTCAAGTCCTACAGGAAAACAAATTCCAACCCAGACTGATATACCCAGCCTAACTCTCCAGTGTAATGGAAAAGTAAAGTATTTTTATGACAAAGACCAACTAAAGATATCAAGCATTGTTAATCAGATATTCTTGTTTTGAAAATCTGGTGTAGCTAGTGAAAAGGTAAGAAAGGATCTATTAAAAACAACGAGGATGCAGGAAAGAATAATCCATCACCTGCAAGATGATGCAAAGATGAACAATGTGAGAATAACAGGCATCAATGAGGAAGAAGGAGTCAACACAAATGACATTAAAAAAATATGGGCAGAAGTAATAGCAGAAAACTTCCCAAATATGAGGAAACAATCTGACATTCA